ACACACTTCAGGGCTGGTAGCCAGAGACCGCTGCAAGTGGCCCGGGTGGAAAACGATTCAATCACCAGAGGAAGAAGAGGCAGGAGGAGGTCCCCGCAGAGTCCCAGCAGAGCAGCACCAGCTGCACCCAGGACGACGCGGCACGCAAGACTGCTTGGAGACAGCGCTGGGGCCCAGCAAGGAGCTTTCGGGACACAAGAGGGAAAGGGGATGAGGCCGTGGTCAGGAAGCCAAGGGGACGGGGCCTCGCGACACGGACCCACCCTAAAATGAAAGCTGCCAAGGACGTGGGTGGGTGATCACAAAGGCCAGGGGCACCCAACAGTCTGTCAGCCACAGTCATTCACCGCTCAGAGGCTAGGGCTGCTGTCACGTGTGAGCACTGGGACGGGGGAAGCCGAGTGTGCTGCACACCAGCATCTGAGCACAGGATGGAGATGGACCTAGAGGAAGCTGAGGCCTTGTGCAAGCTGACAACGGCCTCGGAGAGGGGCGACCATTCCTGCATCTGCCCTGGAGCTGGGGGCAGAGAGGAGAGGACGAGCTATGAGCCAGCTGCAAGCAGGAAGGAGGGCTGCTGGAAGGTGTGGCCCTTGTGTGGACACTGTCCTCATGGAGCAGGACCAGGCTGTGCAACACGCAGGGCCTCAGAGGGTCAGCCCACGGTCACCTGGTGCCTTTGTGAACTCAGTCGCGACACAGGCAGCTCATACTGCACCAACAGCAAACACAAACTCTGGGAAAAACATTTCTGCAAAGAGCACCCGTCCGAGGCCCGGGTGGGACGCTCAGCACATGGGAGCTTCTTGCTGGGGAGCGGAGCGCCTCCCAGGAGCCTGCAGCCTGCCCGGCCGCAGGACAGGACGGCGAGCAGAGGCAACTCAGGCAAGGAGCCACAGGCAAGACCAGCAGATCCTGCAAGACCTCCGTGGGAAAGACTGCAGGTACACAGGGTACACTCCAAGGGGCCGGCGCTGTGTCGCAGTGGGTGAGGCCGCCGCCTACAGTGCCGGCATCCCAGGTGGGCGCCGGTTCAAGTCCTGGCTACTCCACTTCCGATCCAGCTCTCTGCTATGGCCTGGCAAAGAAGTGGAAGTTGGCCCAAGTCCTTGGGCCCCTGCACCCTTGGAGGCCTGGAGGAAGGTCCTAGCTCCTGGCCTCAGATCGGCTCAGCTCCAGCCATTGCAGCCTCTGGGCCTCTGTCTCTCTGTAGCTCTGCCTTTCAAGTAAATGAATAAATCTGTTGTTTTTTTTTTTTTAAAGGAATAAAAAAAAGCTATCTGTTGAGCTGCAGACCCCAGAGGGGGGTCTTGATCTTCTCTAGCTGACACCTGCATTACACAAGGAACAAGTCTTCAGAAGAACGTAACGAGTTCAGAATCCCCACAGTCTACCAAGTGTACTCATGTAATCTGAATGTAGATGTTCACTAAAACAGACAAGACGAGGGGAGGGTATCCAAGAGACAAAGCAAAAATCACTAGCAAGTCTCTGATGACCCAGAATGAGATCAGCAGGCCAGGCTGCGAGAGCAGTTACTGCAGCTATGGCGAGGATGTGAAGACAAAATATGCCCACGATGCAACAATGGGTGGGAACTCGGCAAATAAATAAATGACAGAAAGAACCAACCAGAAATTCTGAAACTGAACAACGCGGAGTCTAATACGGAACGTCCACAGGACAAGCTCAGCCGCACACTGGAAATGACGGACGTCTAAGTGAACAGTGAACTTAGAGAGGGAGAAACTGGAAACTGAACACATCTGTAAGGACCCGTGCAACCAGACTGAAGGCTTTACCGCGTGTGAAAACTGGAGTCCGGGTGGAGAGGACAGCAAGAAAGAACATTTTAAAAATGGCTGGGAGTGGCCAGCACTGTGGCATAGTGGGTAAAGCCACCTGCAGTGCTGGCATCCCATAAGGATGCCGGTTCACGTGCCGGCTGCTCCACTTCCGATCCAGCTCCCTACGAATGTGCCTGGGAAGGCAGTGGAAGGTGGCCCAAGTCCTTGGGCCCCTGCACCCACGTTGAAGACCTGGAAGAAGCTCCTCCCTCCTGGCTTGAGACTGGCCCAGCTCTGGCCATTCTGGCCATTGGGGAGTGAACCAGTGGATGGAAGACCTCTCTCTATCTCTCTGCAACTCTTTCAAATAAATAAATCTTTAAAAATTGAATATTTTAAAAATATGGCTGAGAAAAAACAAATTTGGTGAAAAACAAATTAACAAACTTAAGCTCAGAGAACGCTTAAAAAAAACGCGGACGCTCAGCAAATGAGCAGCATGGTAAGCACAGGAAAGGCAGCCAGAGCTCGGGCCGGGGGCGGCGCTCAGGACGCCCACACGACGCGGCAGGCAGCACCTCCTCTCCCGGCTCCTGAGAGGCTGCTACGTGGAGTGAGTTCCAGGCTCTCGGCTTCGGCCTGGTCCAGTCCCAGCTGTGGTCAGCATTTGGTGAGTGATGAACCAGTTGACGGAATCTCAATCTCAATCAATCAATCAATCAATCAATCAATCAATCTCTCTCTCTCTCTCTCTCTCCCCACGCCCAGTGCCTTCCAAATAAAATGGACAGAAAGGCAGCCAGCCACATCTACATCACAAAGTAGTCCAAACCAAAGACAGAGAAGGTGGCCCACAGCACAATGAAACAGATGTCCAGGTTAGGTACACAAAACCCCTCCACCAAAAATTCCCTAACCACTGAGAATGAAGGTGAAACACACTTTCAGGTAAATAAAACGAGGCAAACCCAGTGCCATCCGAACTTCATGACAGGACACGAGAAGATGGAGTCCGCTTCCAGGAAGAGGCAGCAGGGACAGGGACACGCACACGCACACGCACACGCACAGGGCATGAACTGAAAGCCTTCCACTTTCTTCCTATCACTTCCTGGAAACAGACGCCAGAATCCTAACTGGCTCTCAGGAGCTGCTGCCCGCTGACCACTCAACAGAGCATCCCAAGAGTCTGCTATGTACCCTGCCGTGGCGCTCCCAGACAGAACGCCACCCCTCGTCCCATGGACACCCCCACCGCGTGACGGAGTGCCTCAAAAATAAAACAACAGTGAAATCAAACTGTTCCATCTAGTGAGTGCATCTGAAACGCAGTCCTGAGACCACAAGGTTTCAGAACTGCTTGGTAAATAAAGTTTAATCAAGTTCTACCACTTTCACTGCCTCACCAAAACGGAACTTCCAGAAAGTGTAATTACTCAAGGTCCCAAGAATGAGGTCACAGAACTTCAGAACGATAGCGAGGGGCCAGCATAACATGACACAGCAAAGCCTGCGCTTGCAGCGCCAGCATCCCATGTGGGCGCAGGTTTGAGTCCAGGCTGCCCCACGTCTGACCCAGCTCCCTGCTGTTGCACCTGGAAAAGCAGAGGAAGATGGCCCAACTGCTTGGGCCCCTGCACCCATGTGAGAGACCCAGAAGTAGTTTCTGGCTTCAGCCTTGCACAGCCACAGCCACAGCCACTGGGGAGTGAACCAAAGGATCGAAGATCTCTCTCTCCCTCCCTCCTTCTCTCCCTCTCTCTGTAACTGTGTCTTTCAAATAAATGTTTAAAACTCTTCAAAAAAATAAAAGAGCTACAGCAAGTGGGTCTAGGGGAACTGTGCTCTCGGCCTGCATAGCAGGCTGCCTGTTGCCAAAAAGCCACAGGCCTACTGTGCTGTCATCTCTGCTGTGCCCTGGGGAAAGCTCACAGCAAACAGCCGGGAAGAGCCGCATGCCCACTCTTCAGTGCACACTTTCAGCACTGCCCTGTTACTAACGAAGGGGGCAAAAGCCTCAGCTCTGGGTTTGAAACTCCGCTTATCTTAGGAATGCTACTGGGGCCGGCGCTATGGCACAGTAGGTTAATCCCCCACCTGCAGCGCCAGCATGCCATATGGGCGCCGGTTCGAGTCCCCGCTGCTCCTCTTCTGATCCAGCTCTCTGCAGTGGCCTGGGAAAGCAGTAGAAGATGGCCCAAGACTTTGGGTCCCTGTACCCACATGGGAGACCAGGAAGAAGCACCTGGCTCCTGGCTTCGGATCGGCACAGCTCCAGCCGTTGTGGCCACTTGGGGAGTGAACCAAAGGATAGAAGACCTCTCTGTCTCTCCCTCTCTCTGTAACTCTACCTCTCAAATAAATAAAATCTTAAAAAAAACAGTACGTTACTTATCTGTGACTCAGTTCCCCCTTCTATGAAATGGGGATTGTTGTTAGAATTAAACAGGGACAGCCAGACCCACGGGGTCACTGGGTGCTGACAGAAGCCACAGTCGGAAGCCTGGCGAGTGAGGCAGGGCAGGGTTACAGACTCCACTGCTGTTGCTTCACGAGTTCCATCACCGTAAGCCTTCCAAGGAGGCAGAGGCCGAGCAGACGCTGGACACTGCGGAAACGCTGCGATGCCCGGACCTCCTGCTCAGCCACGGCTGGCGCCCAGCGCAACATGGAAAGGATCGTCAACAACTGGGACCTGCACAGTCAAGTGAGCGTGCCTGCCGCTTTCTGGACAAGATGGGCAAAGGCTGCAAGTGGTCCCCGAGGTGATGGCTCAGCAGAGGGTGGCTGTCCCGTTACGAGCAGGGCTACGACTACTCATCTGTCTCCCTGGGCACTCACCTCAGCCCCACACAAGGAACCGGATAGGACCTACCACGCCTTGCAGAAAAGCCTAGGGGAAGAACTGGGAGGGACATGGGCCCCAGGCAACCCAGCAGTCCAAAAGCAGTCCCTGCTCCGCAGCTGGCGCCTGCACCCTCAGGGCAGCCACGTGGTCGTCAGGCCACCAAGAGACCACTCCCAGGGGAGCGCTGAGTGCTGCAGGGAGGGGCCTGTCTGCACACACAGGTGGCCTTGATGACCTCTGTGTGGGGTTTTCTGAGCACCAGTGAGGTGCAGCACCCGAAACCTGCAACAGGGGAAGCCGAGACGGGCGAGGGCGCCCTCACTGCCAGTCCCGGCGTCCTCACGGCTGGCCCGCGCAGCACTCACCTTTGCTGTGCTTCCCCGGCGGCCTCTTGGGCAGCGCCTCGTCAGCGGAATGTGCGGGCGTGTGCAGCGTGCTCTCCAGGCTGCTGCTGGCGCTGTGCACAGGGGTCTCCGTTCTTGGAGTGATCTGAGGGGACAGAGACATCATCATCTTTCCTTCTATGCAGTTGCTAGAACGAGCTCGTGCACGGCGCTCTTGGCTCAGATCTGTCCACACGGTGCTCACTAGTGCAAGCACTTCCTGAGGTCAGCAAAAATTCCGAAAGATCAGAAACAGCCGATGCCTTGACCCCACCGGGAGCTTCTGCTCACGCCAGGCGCTCAGCAGCCTGCACAGGCACTCTGCGCCAAGCTGGCTTCTCCTAAGGCACACGTGAAGCTTTACACTTCAAGTCCAACAGCTGCCACAACCACACGGCAGGATTTAATGCCATTCTTCTGTAATCCTTGACTACACCATAAACCCCCCCAAAACAACAGTAAACAGAGTATACCAGTGGGCCTGTTTGTGCAGTTTGACAAGCACATTCTTAAATCAGAATTCCGCTTCTAGGAATCCACCCCGCAAAGCACAGCTCACTACAGTGTCGGTCACAGGGAAACGTCTCTCAGCAGAGGCCTGACCGGATCAACCACAGTGATGCCGCAAGGGGGGGCCGGCCCGTGGCCTCCGACACCAGCCGGAACTCTCACACAGTACCAGGGTGCCTGCATTCAAGGCCCGGCTCTGGCTTCTGATTTCAGCTTCTTGCTAACGTGGACCCGGGAAAGCAGCTTGACGGCTCCAGGAGTGGCGCCCCGGCCACCACGTGTGAGACATGGCTGAGTTCCCAGCGCCTGGCTTGTGCCTGACCCAGCCCCAGTCTTTGCAGGTTTTGAGAAGTGAACTAGCAAATGGGGCTCTGTCTCACAACCTCTCAAAAACAGGAAAAAAGAATCGAGGGCGGGTCTCCTGACAAAGAAGCACAAGACAGACGGGGAAGCCGGAGTCGGAGTCGTGGCTGTGATTTAAACCAAGGGTGAGCGCAAAGGGGCTGGCAAGACGGGCAAACCCTTCGCGACCAGGATCTCTGCAGAGGGCAGACGGGGTGGGCTGCAATACTTTCTTTTCCCCTCCTAATCAATATTTCAAGGCTTTACAGCCAAAATATACCTATTACTTATAGGATTTAGAAAAATAAAAATCCTAAGTGCTTTAACCTCTTTACAGTCTCAATTTAGCATGTTTCAAACTTTCAAACAACGTTAGAGAAGGGCATGAGTTTGAAGTTGATGGGAAGAAGCCTGGGTTTCCAGGCTGACAAACACTGCCTGGCAGCGAGGGCAACGCCCAGGCAAAGCACCGAGCCGAGGCCTTGCTGATCCCAAGCAGCTGTCCCTCCACCTCTCCAGCCTGCACACTCACGACTTCCTTTCATTGCAGGACAGTAGGTGCAGGCACGGCTCACAGGGCTGCGTCTCGGGTGGGCGTGAGAGGTGGAGGTGGCCACTCCTGCGGGCTGACCCCAGCCTGCACAGGGACAGCTCACATAGCCACAGCAGATCTGCCCCACCTCCAGCTGGCTAAAGCGGCCTGAGCAGAAGGCCATGCCAGGTGGCCCACAGATTGACAGGTCAATGGGAACTCAAGAGACACCTCCTGCGGACAACCGCTCACAGCAAGGCTGGTCAATCTGGGGTCTGCGTAACAGGAAATCGATCCTAGCTAACCAAGATGTTATCTTCATTTAAATTAATAAGATTAAATAAATTTTAACTTAAAGTTACAACTGTAATTACCTATATTTATAACAACTAAATTGGACATTTTCTTTAGCTTTAACAGTTTCGTCATCCAAAGTATTCCTGAAGTGAACCTTAATTTATTTGAAAGGCAGAAAAGACACACACACACACACACACACACACTCGGACCTTCCATTCACTGCTTCACTCCCCAAAAGCCCACAGCAGCCAGGACTAAGCCAGGAGTCTGGAACTCCATCTGGATCCCGCACAGGAGTGACAGGGACTCAAGAATGTGAGCCCCACCTCTGCCTCGCAGGCGCTCAGTGGCAGAGCCATCAGAAGCCAGGGCAGTCTAAGGGCCACAAGAGGTACACACGCTGCCTGTCTGAAGCTGTCCCCATTGGAAGGTTTGCGGCTCACAGAAGTAACAGCTAAGCCGGCGCCGCAGCTCACTAGGTTAATCCTCCGCCTTGCAGCACTGGCACACCGGGTTCTAGTCCCGGTCGGGGCGACGATTCTGTCCCGGTTGCCCCTCTTCCAGGCCAGCTCTCTGCTGTGGCCAGGGAGTGCAGTGGAAGATGGCCCAAGTGCTTGGGCCCTGCACCCCATGGGAGACCAGGATAAGTACCTGGCTCCTGCCATCGGATCAGCACGGTGCGCCGGCTGCAGCGCGCTGGCCGTGGCGGCCATTGGAGGGTGAACCAACAGCAAAAGGAAGACCTTTCTCTCTGTCTCTCTCTCTCACTGTCCACTCTGCCTGTCAAAAAAAAAAAAAAAAAAAAAAAAAGAAGAAGTAGTAACAGCTACTCTGGGAACAGCTCAGGAGGCTGGCGTGTTTAACCGCTCCTGTTTGGGCTGACTCATCAACTGCAGATGTCCACAGCTCCTTCAGCGTGTGACGCCTGAACCGGTCCTAGGAGGAGACAACGAACTCTCTGGACCCACAGGCAGCCCGGCCTTGCTGCCGACAAAACACGCATGACCCAGCAGCTCTCACACACGTGCCACCTGCCCAACCCGCATCTCCCCCAACAGCCACAAGGAATGGCAGCCTGACTCTGGGCCTTCAGGAGAGCGGAGTGGCACGAGGGACACCGCTTGCCAAACAGGAGAGCTTCGGGGAAGGCGCTGCTCCGCCGGCCTGCGCACAACCCCCCGGGGCCCAGGCCCAGCGCAATCAGCTTCCTGAAGGAAGCCCTTTCTCCTCTCTCTGCATGAGGCTCCCTCCCAGTGATTCTAATCCAAGTCCAGGGTCTAAACTGCAACATCACATCATCCTGAAAAGACAGGAAGTCTTCTCTGTGGACGAGCAGGAAAAGCTCCAGGCCTCAGCCACAGACAGGGCAGCTAGGAGCTGCCCCACCAGCCCATGTCGCACCCACCACATTCTTCACAAGGGCAACTACTGGACACACACACTTGTTTTCCGTAGGGTTTTCTCTTCTCACTTCTCCCAACCAAGCCTCACCTTCACTCGCTCCTCTGTTACAGTGAAAGCCAACTTAACTGCGTTTCCCAGAAATACTGTTTGGGGTTATTTCTGGCCAAGTTCACTTGCCCCATGTGAGCCTCAGTCCCACTCCAACACGCTCTGACTCACCCTGAGCCGCAGAGCTCCCGGTCCTGCTCGCAAGTGCTGGGAACAGACTCGACGGGCTCCAGCTGCCGCCTTCCCTCTGTGAGGACGGCAAGCAGGAGCTCCCTGCTCTTCACCCTCAGCCGGAGTCCCCGCACTGGCCCTGCCACCTGACGACCCCAGCTTCACCTTTCTTTCACCTTTCTGCTCAGGCCCCAGCCCACAGGCACAGCAGCCACAGGGGGCAGGGCTTTGTCAGTCTCCTCTGCCCACTGCACGCAGAGCAGCCTCAGGCAGAAGCAGGTACTTGCTAAGTATCTGGGAAACGCATTAACTATGTTACCAAATTCTGATGAAATTCAGGATTAAATGAATTAAAAAGCCCCTCCGTCTCAAAGTAAAACATTCACAATCTAAATTACGTAGCAGGCAATCAGATCTCAGCACTGGCACAGAGTGGCCCTGAGATCCAACACTGAGACAGCTGCGGGTGGTGAAGGGCACATCCCATGCTTTGTCCTTCCAGCCGATCTGGATCAACGTCTGCTGCACACGTGAGGTACAGGCACCTGGACGCATCCTGGCTCCTACTGAGTCAGCCTTTCTAACTGACAGGGCTGTCTAAATAGGGACCAGGCCACTGCTTCCAAACCTGAATGTGTAAAATGCCTCCGGAGGCCTCCTATGAGAATGCAGGTTCTGATTCAAAAAGCCTGGGGTACACTGCATCTCTCACCAGCTCCAGCTGCCACCTGAGACCCCCCCCATCTCACCAGCTCCCAGCTGCCACCTGAGACCCCCCCCCATCTCACCAGCTCCCAGGTGCTGCCGGCACTGAAAGGAGGTTTCAAGGTAAAGCAGTTCTCCATGGCCAGAGGATTCAGAGGACCAAGCTCCTTTCAGAAGGGAGGGGAAGCGAATCCAGGCACTGTGCAGAACAAGACCCCTTCCAAGGAGAAGACGTGGTCGCGGAGTGCATAAAGCACGCCCTAAAGGGCCAGCCCCTCCATATCCTGCCTCTTGCTGTGTCCCTCAGATGCACACACTTCAGTCAAGGCACCTGACCGGAAAAGCCCACCAAGTAACCAGGCTTTTTGCAGCCCAGAACCACAATTTTTGAAGGGCTTTAATTACTTAAACCTATTTCATTAAAAACCATCCACGGACATCCCCATGGGATGCTAGCACGCAGTCGGACTGCAGCAGAGCCCGGAAAGAGTCACAGAGAAGCTGGCTGGGGCGGGGCATCCAAGGCCTTGCCCCCTCACAGCGCAAGTGCCGTGACCACGTGCGGTGCCAGCGACCCCTTGGGTCCTGTGAGAACCACTGACCCCTTAAGTACATTTGAAACACATGAAATACACAGGATTGCAACAGGCCCATCACATCACAGCCAGTTATCAGAGGACTGACACACGCATTTGTCCAGCAGTGCTTGGCGGGTATTTTGAGATACTTCACACAACCATGATTTGAAGGTATCTGACTGTACTGGTGACAAAGTCGCGGATTTTGTTAATGGCTGTGGGTTTCCATCTGCTTTCAGGTGGCAGAAAATCCTAATTTCCAGTTAGAGGCCAGAAGATAGAAAGCTGCTCTGGCCCCCAGCCCCCGGCTCAGAGCCCCTGCTGGGGACAGGCCGCTCATTCAGCCTCCCCCCAGAGCCAGAGAGGCCATAGCAGGGGTGGCCTTGGACAGCAACCCCCCACCCAAGGTCCCACAACAACCGGCTGTGCAGAGTGCTGCCGGGCCCGCCCCCACCCCCTCGGCGGAACAAACGATGGACTGGCCCTCCTGAGCCCAGTGGACAGAGCAGCTCCTCCCTCGCAGGGACACCAACCCCCCATTGCCCTCCTTACTTCCTCCTGAGCAGATTAACAAAAGCACGGCCACAAAATCCTCGTGGTCACCTGAGTTCAGGTGTTTCAAGGGGGAAGCAAAGGTGCTGTTTTTTTCTGATAGCTGCAAACAGGTCTCAGCAGGCTGCAGCCCCTGAGGGAATGCTGGGAACACTTCAAAGTTTCTACCCTTAGTTTACTCTGACGCTCTTACTTCCAACTGTTCCCTAATTGTAGGGTCTCCAGCTGCACAGGGGGCGGCCACAGCACCAGCAGTGCTGGGCGACCTCTCATCTCCCACTTGCAACCCCACTGGGCTCGACACACTCGGCAGTCAATCACCAGTGCACGCAGTGCTTAACTCTGACTGGCACTGCAGGTTCTTGAAGGTGAACCCAGCACTCAGCACACCCGCCCTGCCCATGCCACAGTCAGCACACCCGCCCTGCCCATGCCACACTCAGCACACCCGCCCTGCCCATGCGTGGAAGAGGGCAGGCGCGCATGTGCTGACACACAGCAGGTACACGCGGCCTTCGAGAAGAACCCGGGAAAGCAAGTTACCTTCTCAAGAAACCAAAGCCTCGCCATGCTGTGCCTCCAACAAAGAGTCAGGATCGGGGGGGACGCGGAGGCCACGCAACCACCTGGGGAACACTCCCTCACTCGGGATGGCACAGGTTCCAAATTCTACTCAGATTCACCCTCGTTCAAAGCGACCGAATATAAGGTCACTTACTGGAAACAATTGTCGTTAATACAAACATAGGACTGGCCAAACAAAATGACGGACCCCTGAGCTGGAATACCAGCAGCTGTCAGAGAGGGAGTCAGTCGGAGGCTGCAGAGAATGCAAAGATTCTAAGGTGAGAGTCTGCTGTTGTTCTGAGATCTGTTTGTTTGAAAGGCAGAGTTACAGAGAGGGAGAGACAAAGAGACAGACCTGCCATCGCTGGTTCACTCCCCAGAGGGCTGTAATGGCCAGCACTGGCCAGGAGTTTCGCCTGGGTCTCCCACAAGTGGCAGGGGACGAAACACGTGAGCCGTCTTCCGCTGCTCTTCCCAGGCTAGTAGCAGGGAGCTGGAACAACGATCCACACGGAACGCCAGCATCCCAGGTGGCAGCTTTACACACTACACCAAAACACCAGCCCCAAGATAGAAGCTTTAAAAACCAGGAGCAGGGACTGGTGCTGTGGCACAGCAGGTTAACGCCCTGGTCTGAAGCACCAGCATCCCATATGGGCGCTGGTTCAAGACCTGGCTGCTCCATTTCCAATCCAGCTCTCTGCTGTGGCCTGGGAAAGCAGTAGAAGATGGCCCAAGTCCTTGGGCTCCTGCACCTGTGTGGGAGACCTGGAAGAAGCTCGAAGCTCCTGGCTCCTGGCTTTGGATCGGCGCAGCTCCGGCTGTTGCAGCCAACTGGGGAGTGAACCATCGGATGGAAGACCTCTCTCTCTCTGATTCTCTCTGCCTCTCCTCTCTCTGTGTAACTCTTTCAAATAAATAAATAAATCTTAAAAAAAAAATGGTGCAAGGGGCCAGCCCTGTGGCAGAGTAGATTAAGCCGTTGCTTGCACTGAATCCT